CTCCAGTGTATCCATTTGATAACGGTGATGCATACATACAGGGTTTATTGTGACTGAAAGTGACCTCGGAACGAGCGTGAATCTCCATAAATTCTGAAATGGGTTGTTGGATTTGCAATAGAGCTAGAAAACTATTGAGTATTTTTTAAATCGTATTTAAAAACAAATAAAAATTCAAAATATTCAGATACGACAAATTACCAATTTAAATCACATTTTTTTGCTTGTCGATCTCAACATTTGTAAAAAATCCTTTTTCCCCAGAAAATAATGGAAATAAAATATTCGCCGTTTTTCGTTCAGTGTGTGTTGTGTGCCCCTGCTGAAAAGGCCTTTTTTTGACACTTTTTCTCATATGCCATTCTTATATGCTGTTTTGCTTACAAGATACTGTTTAAAGTCCTCTGTTATGACCTTATTCTCAGCTAAACAAAGCTATGTGGCTTTTTGTATCGTTTGTGAACACAAAGCGTGATAAAATTATTGTGTAGTTTAAATGGACATGAAACGCAGATTTAAGCAGGTTAAACGATAGGATGCATGATTCAAGCACTCAACTTCACACAAAGGAAATTTACAAGGCAAAACTACGTAGGATGTTGACAACATGTTTTGTTCGCAGTGAATAGTGATAAAAATCTCGATTAAAATACAATTTGTAGCTGGAAAGGACTTCATTTTTCTGTTTATGTACATAGATGACACAAAGATAATTTAAAGGTATGGTGGATTACGTGTAAATAATGAACGATTTTCAAGTTGATGACTCTAATATTAAAAATTATTGCGTACTTTGTTTACACTTAAACTTCAATCTTCATCTGACAAATCCATGTCTTCCTCGAAATGGTAATCATCTGCCAACCATTTCCGCCCTCGTTTCTGAGGCTACAAACTCTTCAAAAATGTGTCGTATATAGCCTTATTACACAGACAAACAGACGTAACTCTTCATTGTGTATCTTCGTTCATGCATTTAACGGTTGATTTGAATATTATCAGTTCCGCGAACATGGCATCGGATCACTTTGACGTTTCTATATATTCTATAGAAATTTCATGCAATATTGTTTACGAGTTAGCGAGCAAACTTGTTTTCCGCGAGAAGCCAGATAGATGTCGTTACTGAGGTTATATGTTTTGAGATACTATGTTTTCAAGAACAAGTTTTTCAAAGAGTTACGTCTGTTTGTCTGTGCTTATTACTTACGTATGGCAGGAGACTCTTTAGGTCTTCCATCATCTTTTTAGTCAGCTATATTGGCTCCGTATTTATTGGGTTGATCGCTGGTAGTTGTAGTCGAAGCAAATTAGTATCAGCGATGGTCAAGGACCTGTAGTCATCTTCCTGAGGATCGTAGTTCAAGGAAATCTTACCCAGCCTTTTCATGATATATTCAAAAACTATAACATTTCTTAACTTGAACTGTTGTCCAGCATCATCTTTATTTGGTTTCCTGTATCGTGCTAGCAACGATTTTCAATTGAGTAAATCCCGGAGGTCCAGCTCTCTGACGTTGAAAGGAATACGCCTTTTGATTTGCCCAATCCCGCGACGTTTCTATGTTGAAGTTGTTCGTCTTTTTTGCACGTTCAATTGCCGCGTGAACTGAGTCGACTTCCATATGGGAGTAACCAGACACCATAAACTTGAGCATAATCACAAGATTTCGCCCTTTGGCCGCCCTTTGCAAATCAAACGAAAGAGTACACACGTCAGTGTTATTCTTAGGCGTAAACAAAACATCGCACGGTCACTTGACAGATTGATGCTGTGTTAAATGCGCCGGTATGCCACAAGACCGTGTGACGTCCTCTCGCTTCATATCGTAGCCAGCCTTTGGTCGCTCCTGGTGCAAATTCTGGACATTTTTTCAGTGAAATTTGCAATCTATCACACTCGCCACATGTATCAATTTTTGGTTTTCTGAAACAGTAGTTCAAATCTTAAAAAATCATGTGATAGCTGTTGAAGTGTATGGGGTTCATCAAATAATATTTGCATTTAATGCAATACAGGTCATACAACTTGGTGATGTTCAGATTACTGTCTAAGTATAATTTTGACGACTTGTTCCTTCCATAGTGTAAAGTATACTGTGGGAATGATGAGATGTGATTCACAACGTGTGTTTTGATCTCATCCGTGATCGGATTCCGGTTCATATTATTACATCGTTGATCATATGGAACAATGCCAAGGCCCTCAACCTCCTTTTTTGAAAGTATATGGACCTTCTTCTCCGTTAAATCGAGCGTAGCAAGAAACATCTTCTCGTACCATTCCTTCTACACCGGGTAATTAGTACTCATGCGTATAAATCCTTTTCAAAACCTAAAATTATTAAAAAAACTTATCTATAAACTGAATCATCACATCATTAGCTAACTATACCTTACTAGATGCTGCATATGAAACATCTACATAATTGGAAATTAACTGGTTTTGGGCCGATGATGCCAATTTGAGCATATTTTTCAAAAATTTCTTTCGCATATTTTTATCATATTTAAATTTCAAATGACATTTTAACTTTACCACCTTCACCGTGCGAGAAGGAACTCGAGTACTGTTCGCGACGCGCGTGTCACGTTCATAAGACGAAGCCGAAGGGGCTTCGTCCTTTATTATTATTTTTCGAGAGGAACTCGCAATCCGCGAAGGATCACGCGGCGAACTTTCGGCGTGCGGTTATTCACAGACCAGACCGGAGGAAGGGGTTCGAATGCCTCACGGAGGATCCTAATCGAATTGGTAGGTTTCGACTGGCTTCGAGCTCGTCGTTCCAACAGCAGGAACCGATACCACTTGAAGCGAGATTCGCCTACTTTCGAACAGGATTCCTTAGGACTTGGCTGAGTGCTCTACGGTTGGGATATGGTTGGACGGTAGCTGCCCAGCTCAGATGGGGGCAGTAGCGCGATTCCAACAGATACACCATCGGTAAACCTGATCAGCCTAGTCGGGGAGTGCCCAAACTCTGAAACGGGTTCCGACCAATAAAGGTGCTCGGCCGGTACTTGCCCAGCTCAGATGGGGGCAGTAGCGTCGATTCCGAGGAAACTCTTATTGGAAACGGATTACCGCGAGAGAGTTTGATAGGCTGGAGGCGAAGAGTGTTATTGAGGTGATATGTAGGAGTAAGGGTGGACCTGGCGACAAGTCCGTACACTTGGATAGGATAGTGAAAACTGAATGTATTTTGGTTGTATCAAAACGCTTTTATAGCGTCCCTTAGACCTAAGTTTTGGGCGTCGGTGCCCACGTACGCATGTGCGTCTATCTTCCCGCACAGGGGTTCTAGACGCACTTTCTTCCTAATTCTAGATTTCCCTTGGTCACGCATCCTAGTAGGGGAACGTTTTCATTTTTAACTTTTATGACCCAAGTTCTCGCGCCTCGCTGGTGCATGTAAATTACTTTAAATCAATCCGCACCAGGCTTCCTGTTTACATTGGCCCGCTCCCCAGATCTAGCCTATAGCTTGGATGCGTACGCATGCATCGCTGCCTATCTAGGCCTAAGTGCATTTTTCCATTGATTTTGCTCTCTGCGGTGGAACCGTCGCTAGCTCGGTTTTATTGCCCTTTGTGTTTTTGGAAGGATGCCGAACGCAAGATTGTCCCTTGGGACGATTTCATTGCTTTCTATTAATGCTTCAACTATCCTTCCCAAGACTGGTTCTATTACGATAATTCGTTTATCTTGGCGTTGTTACGCATCTTTTTAGGGAACCAGATTTTATTACCTTTGCGCCAGGCTCGCATTGCCGGGCGCACCGAGCTCCATGCGACCGATTCATTACCATTCCATTCACATAGCACGCGGACTGCCTTGGCATCGAGCGTCTAATACACCGCAGCGCTGCACGCATTGCAGGGCTGCATATGGTTCACCGTGGAGCGAAGAAAGTGGAAAGTAAATGCGTACTGATTCTATATGCGTCAGCCAGATCTGGCGGTGTGGCATGTTTACTTCTCGTTTACGAGGCGTGAGTTAGGGTAGGTTTGGTCTTGACTTTGTGCTTCTTGCACCTCTCTTAGACAAATTTCTTGCTTTCGCTTATTTCCCGTACGAGGGCGGTGACCTATCGTGGGAACTTGAAAATGCATAATGAATTGCGATATTTTACGTTGCATCTGCAACATCCCGGGCCTCGTAATTCTTACTAGATTTACTAATCTAAATCATATGTTAATATTGCAATTTTTCATTATTGGGATGTTACATTGCTCCGAGTGTTTAAATTCCATGTTTTACATTTCAGTGTTTGATCTTGTATGTAGTCATTAATTTTTCTAATATGTTTATAATTTTCCGTACTTTCGTACTGCTTTTACTGATCATGATATATAATTTTCGTAACTCTAATTGAGTTGATTTATATGCCTTTGTACTTCTACGTATTTGTATGCTTGATATATATCTGTTTTGTTTTTATGTTTATATCATGTCTTGATAATTCTTCTATAATTTCTTCTTAGTTTATATATAATGATTCGTTGTATAAATGATGATTACATATTTGTCAAATAATGTCTTCTCTTCTTGAGGTGGTGGGATGTTAGTTTGTTTGATATTTCTAGTTGTTAAGGAAAAACTATAATTTATTTTCTTGTCTTTAATAGATATAAATCCCATCAATATACCTCTTTTCATTTTATGCTAATTATGTACTTATTAATTTAATGTTATTTCAGGTGTCCATCTTCGGGTGGTGCAGCCGAGCGTCGCGCATGCACTTTTCGTCAATGTTGCTGTCTGCTACTACTTGTGAATTCGAGGGTGATCTCACCCTTGGCTTGGCTTGATTTTCTTTCATGTTGAATCGGCTCGGTTTTGAAATGCCGATTCTGGTGCAATGTTGTCTAGTTGATTCGTCATCTCGTTGTTGTCGGCATTCACTACTGGATGTGAATGTTGGTTTCTGGCGGACTGGCTGATACCCAGTCGTCTTGTTATCATATGCGTATTGGCTGACTTCTTAGGCGGGTATCTTCTATCGGGGCATCGTGAGCGCTACATAGGGGTGCGCAGGAGGGTGGGCGCGAGCCACCGTCTGTGGTTCTTCATCGGATAGTGGTGTGTTTTCTGAAGGATTGGTCCCATCTTCAGGCGTCGTTACATCATATGTTCTGGTCGTTGACTTCTTGATGTTCTTCAGAGTGTTCCTATGCGTGAGGAAGGTTGTCATGGAGTCCCACAGCGATGCGATTAGCTGCCATCCGAATCCATAGATGTCATACAATATGCGTCCGTGCATCAAGGTATCTACAAGAAACTTGATTATTCTGCCAATGATATACAGCCCGATGGCTGTAGATGTTATATTACCCAACCAAGATGACAATGACACAAGTTTTTCCCAATACTTGTTTATCATGTTGTCAATTAACTTTTCTGACATTAGGGCTTCGAAATGAAATCCCTGCTTGCTGGGATTTTGTCCAGTTAATATCTTATGTACCACGTTTGTGGCTATGCGACGGTCACCCTGATCGTATATCATGGTTCGCATCTTTTTCAAACTATCAGCGTCGTAAATTCCGCTTTCCATTAAATTTGGAAGAGGTGTGTAAGTCCATTTGGTCACTATGTCCGTGGCCAGTTTTTGTGGGAATGTAGTTTCTCTTATCTTCCCATCAAATGTGTACCATCTGCCTCCAAATTGGAATTTGGCTGGTAACAACGGTGTACATTCAATTTCCGTTCCTCGCATTTGTAGTGTACGTGTGACTGGGGTTAGAAACATTGTGACATTTCCGAACTTCACTGGAAGTTCTTGATAGCACCTTTCTGATGCAAACGGTTGCACGTAGACCGGCTTGCATTCCAATACGTGTAGCACTTCTCCGGCTACTACCGCGGAAAAACCCGTTCTTTTCATTATGCTATTAACGAATTCTGTTGGGTTTATGCGGGCAAGTGTAAGTTTTGTTTCCAAAAGTGCCTTGTCTAATTTACACATTTCAGTCATTACTGTATTGTATACGTCGTCGAGCTTCTGACCGACGTAATTCTCAACTAGAGTTATTTTAGAATTGAAGTATGTGAAAATGTCATGATTTCTTGCACTTGATGGTCTTCTAGCAAATGGAGACTTGAACTCCGCTTCTTCCAATATGAATATTCTCGGGTGGTCTGTGCTATAACCCTTGTATCTGCATATCTTCGCTGTATCTTTGGTGCGAATTGAAAACAAATGCGAATCGGAAATGGAGGTATAAACGGCATGTGGATTTGGTTTATTTCCTTCTATATTTATTGTCTTGTTAACCTTTCCTTCATATATAACTTCGAAATCGGTGTCTTCACACCGTTGGTTTAGGCTCACGTCCCAAGTGGAGTATCCATCTTCTGAGTCTAGGCACTTTCCATGTGAATATGGACATACTAGTCCGTGTCGGAGCATAATTTGATCATTCTCGTTATCGATTGTTGCCATGTAGTTATACAATGCGATTTCATATTCAAAGTATACTAACGCATTGATCCAAGTATACTCCGGTGTTTTATACACGCCACCGCTGCAAGAACTAGCCCATACGCTACCTACGACTAAGGTTTCTCCTCTAGTCGTGTGGTTTCTCTTAAGTTCGAGGAGTCCCGCGCTCAATGTTAAGGGAATAGCTCCCGTGAGTTGAGTGCGTCTACACTCGTCGGGTGTAAACTCCTTTACTATGTAAGAGTATCCGCGCTCATAGTCCGAGGTGTGCGAGTGCATTCCGCAGTGCCTTATTGATCTCTTAATGATCATTTTGCACTGATATACCATTGTGCTTCCCTTAGAGCTTCTTTGAAGTACTTGAATAGGTACTTCAGATATTGAAAGATTCTTTGTAGAAGGGATACAAGACGTTACGTCCAATAGTGAATAACTTGTCATATTCACTTCTGGGCTCGCGCAGTCATACGCGATAAGCCCGGTTGGGTATTGCCCTAACGCTGCCGTTATAAAAAATAATACCATTATTATGGTCATATACCATGGAACATGGATTTTAGTTTTGTTCGTTACATTTCTAGGTTTTTGTTTCGAGTTCATTCTGTCTCTTAGTTCTTTAACCTTATCGATGTCTACTTTACATCGTTTTCCCCAAGAATTAAAGTTCTTTCCTGCGCGTTGATCCATTGTCAAATTAGCGCTTGGTAACTCGCCCTCCACCTTTCTTTTTCTATTTGCGGAGACTGGACCTATATCGCCGTCCTCGTACTCCCGATGGTGGTTTATACGGTGGATTTCCACTGGTTGATTTACCACCTTTCTTTTACGTTTAATTGGTGGTGCCTTCTGTCCTTTGCCCTTATCTTGAAGGGCTGGTTTAGTTTCCCTTCGATTCTTTGTACATACCTTTGGTGCTTCTTTTATTATTTCTAAAAATTGTTTCCATTGATTGTAAGAGCGCTCTGAAATTTCTGCGTCCCAATCCGACGTTTCCTTATGCAGCTCTTGGATAAGTATCCTACCATGTATGGTAAGATTAGCGATTAATCCCATTGGGTCATAAACGCTCATAACGAAGGATAATACCTCTCGTTTAGTCGGCTTTCTAATTTCATGGCGTACATCTACTGGTAGCCGATTAAATTTAAGTTGGTACTGAATACAATCTTTACTTGTATCCCAGTACATCCCAAGAACCTTTTCACCTTCGGACTCCTTATCCTCGAAGGTTTTAATCTTGTCCACTTGGACCCTATTCTTCGGAAGTGAAGCTAGCACTTCTTTACTATTAGAAACGAAATTTCTGATAAAGAATTTCGCCTTGTCGTGAATTTCCATAACGTCTTTGATCGTTTGCGTTGCCTCTTGAGGCGTGTCGAAACTATCAATATAATCATCAACGTAATGCTGTTTTATTATTGCCTTTACCGCCTTGGGTTTTGTTTCGGCGTATAGACTGGCGTTGTAGTTCTTAACAGCTTGCGCGCAGGCTGGAGAGCTGGTAGATCCGAAGATCATAACCTGCATGACGTACACGTCAGGCTCTCGGCTGTCGTCACAATCACGATATAAGAAGCATTGCTTCTTCTGGTCCTCTAGACTAATTCCCACCTGACTAAACATTTCCTGCACATCTCCAGCGGATGCGATAGCCCCTTCCCGGAAATTAGTGGTGACGCCAAACAAAGAGGTTGTAGCGTCGGGACCCGCTAACAACGCGTCATTTAGAGAAATGCCCCAAGACTTTGCGGCCGCATCGAACACCAAGCGTGGCTTAGGAGGTGTTTTATTTTTATTTACCACGATAAAGGTTGGGAGATAAAATATCTCTCCAGCCCATTCCTCCTTTTCCTTTGGTGTTAATTTGCGCGCGTAGCCCTTGGTTACATAATCCGCAATCGTGTTGTTTGTCCAGTTCTTCAGTTCTGGATCTTTTTTCAATTTCGCTTCCAAATTTTGGAGCCTCTTATAAGCTTGTATGTAACTCTCTGGTAGATGCGTATCATCCTCTTTCCAGAGTAACCCGACTTCGTATTTTTCCCCTGTATATTTTAGGGTCTTATTTATTATCTCCTTGGCTCTAATTTCATTCTTGGTCTCAGGAAGTTTTTCTGGAATTTTGACTCCAAAGTCCTCCACTGAAAAATATCGTTGCATTAGATCATTCATTTTGTCATCTTCCTGAATGACCATTAAATGTTCTGCTTGTGCGGTATGTTTGATATTACCAAATATCAACCAGCCAAGCTTAGTTTTGATTGCGATGGGTTCATTCACTCCCATCGCTCGTCTTTCTAACGGATATAATAAATGGCTATGATTTAGCCCAATAAGTAATTTTGGCTGTGCATTCTTATAATTCTTTATTGGTAAATTGGCCAAGAACGGATATTTGTCTGCCAAATTATCGTAGTTCACGGTTTGAACCGGTAAGTGAAGATTACTTGCGGTTCTGACGTTTGTCAACGTGAATTCATTATCGGAATTGCCTTTAATTTTTAATTTGACCCTCCTGCTAGTTTTCTCTTCCCTAGACACATTCTGGGTCCATTTTATTTTGAGTGGATCACGTACTCCTTCTAACTCAAGTTCCTCAGCAACCCCTTCATCTATTAAAGTTAAGGAGGATCCTGGGTCTAGGAAGGCGTAGGTTTCCACCTCGCAATTCTTATTTTTAAGTGTTACCGGAATGATCTGGTAAAACACTTGTGCCCTTTGCTCCTCGTGTAAGTTTGAAGTTTCGGGTCGTGGTTCGGTTGGCTCGCCGGAGGCTGTTATCTGTCTTCTTTCCGGTCTGCTACCTTGATTATGAATATCCCTTGGGATATGTAGTAGCCTATGATGGTGCTCGTTGCATCCATTTATGCCACAGTTTCTTTGAAAATTACAGTTTCCTTTGTGTCTGAACAGACACAATGGACATACTCGCAATTTAAGTATTTCCTGTCGTCTGTTTTGTACAGACATTTTTCCAAATTTTTGGCACTCTCTTAGTCTATGTGTTCCGTTACACATATAACAACGTACGTTGTTTTCTGAGTGCACATTGACTCTATTCCTTTTTTCGATCGGAGCTCTATTAGAATTATAGAGCTCACGATGAATGTCGGCCTTAGGCTTTAGCCATTTAGCCAAATCTTTAAGGGAGGGTACTGAATTGCCTTGTTTGGCATTAGATTCTACTACCTCCAACCATTTTATCTGGGTGTCGCAAGACATCTTGCTTACCAGTTCCTCAACTAAGCGAGGATCATTTGAGTACGCCATCTGATTGGAGGCGGTTAAATGCGCTATCAAATTTTCTAGACCATTCGATATCTCGACTATCGCTAAGTGGCCTCCTGTTCTAATACGCTCGAGATCGTCTCGCAGCTCCTTATAGACCCGTTTTGACTGTCCAAATTGTTTTTCGAGTCGTTCCATTATTTGCGGTACGTTTGCTTGATCAAGCATCATGGACTGTACCGCCTTAGCCGCTGGGCCCCCTAGTGCCTTTTGCAGCCGTATCAAATTTTCCAAACTGGTATATTTCCCCTGCTCGGTCGTGGCCTCGAACATTTTCTTAAATGCTGGCCACTCTCGAGCGTTCCCAGAGAACTGGGGCAGACTCATTTCTTGCCGTTTTAAATACATAGCTACGGAATCGTCGTCCGCAGCTGTCTCTTTTCTTACGAGTTCGTTTTCAAGCTTGACTTTATTCAGCTGGATCGCCTGAGCGATGTCCAGCAATACGTCTCGCTTGTCCTTTTCTTCCTTATGTTTAGATTCAAGCTCACGTTTGTAGTGCGCTAGCTCCGTCTCCATAGACGTCGCGTGAATCTCGGAGGATTTCTGTGCCTTTGCACGTGCCTCCAGCTCTAAAGCTATATTTGCTAATTTATTCTTCATCTGAATAAGTTCGTCGGCTTGCGCCTTCTTAATACTTTCATCCATGCGGCATTTCGCACACGACCAAGGTTCTTTTTTATCAGGTAGACAGGTGAGTTCCACGCATCCATAGTGGAACCACCTATCACATTGGTCACAAGCGACCATATCTTGCACCTCGTCCTTACGAGTGCATAGGCGACAATGGCCGAGCACATTGTCTACAAAATTCATTGCTATTTTGTTTGTGTTTCTTTCTTTTTAATGACTTTTCTTTCTTACACCCTTTCTTTCTATCTCACTAGAGATTTTATATCGGTTTTACGTGCACCCTTCTGTTGCTCAAGTGAGCCTGTTTTTCTTATTTTCCGTTTCTCTTTTAACGAGTACGTTGACTCGTTATGCAATAAACGTTTCGGGTTTATGACCCGCCTGGCGGATTTCTTACAGGGAATCGATGGGTTCGTTGACCCGTTTTTATTCTCCTTCCCCTTAGAACTTCGTAGGCTAATTGCCTGTTTAATTTTCCTCGTGATCGTGTTCTCTAACGAGGTGTATTTTGTTTATTTCCTGCTCAGGAGCTGGAACCCTTGGGAACTTGTCCCGAATAGTCACTATTGACTTCCTCTTGCCCCGGATTAAACCGCAGACCTGTGCAGGATTTCCAACTCAGGAGCTGGAAATCCGCTAAAACTATCTCGGATTACACCGCAGATGTTTTACTATGGCATTCACGAACCTTTTGTTCGGAATCCTTCCTGTGAGTCCCTCCTATGTGGACTCCCGACTTTCACGGTGGGTCCCTGATAATTATTCTCGAATTTTTCCTATATAAATTCCGATAATTATCTCCCGTATTCCTGTGGGTTCTGACAAATACCTCCCGAACTTCTTGGGACTGATAAATATCCCCACCAGCCTTCCTTACGAAGGTTGCCCTACCTACTGTCGGGCCCGGCCTACTTATGTAGGCACTGTTTCGAAACTCCCGGCTTACGCCGTTGCAGACGTTTCTTCCTTGGGCGTTCGCGTACCTTCCGTGCGGAACCCCGTCTTACTGGAACCTATCCCGGATTAACACCGTGGACGTTCCTAAACGAATTGTGTTTTTGGGTTTTTAGGCCCCTTATAGTCCGGAGACTGCTGTTATGTTTGGGTTTTTAGGCCCCTTATAGTCCGGAGACTGATTCAATTCACACTTTATCTTAAACACTTCACTTTAGCACTTGATTAGTTGGGTCCTAATTGGCAGGGTGTTATTGATTTGTTACTTATTAATTAGGAAAAGAATAATTACTTACCTGATGACCCTGCCGGTGCTAGAGTCTCCTTATTTCACTTAAGCCCGTAGGCTTTCACTTTACTATTAGACTTTCTTCCGGTGTCGGAACACCTACACTGTGAGTTCTTATAGCACTATTGCTCCTCTCTGGAGCCACCATATGTTCGCGACGCGCGTGTCACGTTCATAAGACGAAGCCGAAGGGGCTTCGTCCTTTATTATTATTTTTCGAGAGGAACTCGCAATCCGCGAAGGATCACGCGGCGAACTTTCGGCGTGCGGTTATTCACAGACCAGACCGGAGGAAGGGGTTCGAATGCCTCACGGAGGATCCTAATCGAATTGGTAGGTTTCGACTGGCTTCGAGCTCGTCGTTCCAACAGCAGGAACCGATACCACTTGAAGCGAGATTCGCCTACTTTCGAACAGGATTCCTTAGGACTTGGCTGAGTGCTCTACGGTTGGGATATGGTTGGACGGTAGCTGCCCAGCTCAGATGGGGGCAGTAGCGCGATTCCAACAGATACACCATCGGTAAACCTGATCAGCCTAGTCGGGGAGTGCCCAAACTCTGAAACGGGTTCCGACCAATAAAGGTGCTCGGCCGGTACTTGCCCAGCTCAGATGGGGGCAGTAGCGTCGATTCCGAGGAAACTCTTATTGGAAACGGATTACCGCGAGAGAGTTTGATAGGCTGGAGGCGAAGAGTGTTATTGAGGTGATATGTAGGAGTAAGGGTGGACCTGGCGACAAGTCCGTACACTTGGATAGGATAGTGAAAACTGAATGTATTTTGGTTGTATCAAAACGCTTTTATAGCGTCCCTTAGACCTAAGTTTTGGGCGTCGGTGCCCACGTACGCATGTGCGTCTATCTTCCCGCACAGGGGTTCTAGACGCACTTTCTTCCTAATTCTAGATTTCCCTTGGTCACGCATCCTAGTAGGGGAACGTTTTCATTTTTAACTTTTATGACCCAAGTTCTCGCGCCTCGCTGGTGCATGTAAATTACTTTAAATCAATCCGCACCAGGCTTCCTGTTTACATTGGCCCGCTCCCCAGATCTAGCCTATAGCTTGGATGCGTACGCATGCATCGCTGCCTATCTAGGCCTAAGTGCATTTTTCCATTGATTTTGCTCTCTGCGGTGGAACCGTCGCTAGCTCGGTTTTATTGCCCTTTGTGTTTTTGGAAGGATGCCGAACGCAAGATTGTCCCTTGGGACGATTTCATTGCTTTCTATTAATGCTTCAACTATCCTTCCCAAGACTGGTTCTATTACGATAATTCGTTTATCTTGGCGTTGTTACGCATCTTTTTAGGGAACCAGATTTTATTACCTTTGCGCCAGGCTCGCATTGCCGGGCGCACCGAGCTCCATGCGACCGATTCATTACCATTCCATTCACATAGCACGCGGACTGCCTTGGCATCGAGCGTCTAATACACCGCAGCGCTGCACGCATTGCAGGGCTGCATATGGTTCACCGTGGAGCGAAGAAAGTGGAAAGTAAATGCGTACTGATTCTATATGCGTCAGCCAGATCTGGCGGTGTGGCATGTTTACTTCTCGTTTACGAGGCGTGAGTTAGGGTAGGTTTGGTCTTGACTTTGTGCTTCTTGCACCTCTCTTAGACAAATTTCTTGCTTTCGCTTATTTCCCGTACGAGGGCGGTGACCTATCGTGGGAACTTGAAAATGCATAATGAATTGCGATATTTTACGTTGCATCTGCAACAAGTACCGTTAGGTCTTGTATAAGTGTTTCCCTTTTCTTTAAGCAATTTCAAAATTTCCCGGCTCTGTGCTTTTGTCTTCTTCGATTTGCCTTCTTCGAGATCATCAATAATGCGGAAATCTGCAGCATCAGGATTTTTAGTTTTTTGTTAAACTCCACCGTTCAGATAAAAAATAAAAATGATTTTTTTGGCACAAGAACTCTAAAATAAGGAAAATGGATATATGGGTCCATACATAAATTCAGCATTCGACTAAATGTTCAATAGCGATCAATGTTTTATAGCCTTTAGATCAATATCTCAACTTAAGCACTATTTAGAATATTATAGACGTAGGAGAAATGGCTCTAATGATGGCCTATGGATAAGAGATTGGGCACATCGCTAAAAATCTGTTATTTATCAATTCTACCTAGATGAACGCGTCATTGGGACGGTACTAATAGATATTTTGGTCGCATTGAGAATGTAGTTGATTGCTGAATTTATAAATGGGTCCAAATTAGGAGCATTTAGGCCAACAATACATCCATTTCCTCTTTTTTAAATTTCTTAGAAATTTTTAGATCTTCGCTTCACCCATATGCTCTGAAAAATTCGTGAAAAGTATAAGGCTTTTCTCGGAAGTTTGAAAAAGGTTATGGATGTTCTGAGATTTTTTTTGACTTCCCTAAGCATAGAATATCATTGTACTTGCCACACAATATAACAAATTGTTTGCATGGAATGTTCTCAATTAAAAACTCGTTTAAAGTGTAAAAACAGGTAGAAAGGGAAATCCAAAAACTCAACTTAAATTGAAAGCAATAACTGAACGATTTTAAGTAAATCTCTGATTCTGATTTCCCAGTTCTGACAGAAGAAATGAATTTATTTTCAAATTGTTAGTTACTGATCTTGAGCAGGATTCCGTACCAACGTACACACTTAGAAAAATTCATGTACATTTATATGCTATGAGACTGACATATAAGAGCGTCAATTTTGACTTAAAATTGAGTAAAAACAGACATGAAACTCAGGTCAATCAAAGATACTTTTCTTCGAGCAACAAATTGTCTCCGAGCACTTAGTTTTTTTTTTTATCTAGTTCGTTTATTTGGAAGGCTCAATCGCGTTAGCTTTATGGAGCCGATAATTCATTGTTCACTGTGTGTAACAAAATTCACTTAATTCTATGTCTAGTAGGAGTTAGGCCGATTACTCGCGGCTTACTCGAGGTTAGAAGGGTACATTTTCGAAGGATAGGATCAGGGGAGGAGCTTGGGGTAGGGTTTCGTTGTCTCATCAGAGCGTTGTCGCCAGTATGAACGGTAGTGCTGTTCTAGCTTCGTCCGGAGTTCGACCGGCTATGGTGGGTGACCAGTGGGCGACGATGAGACTCGAGACGGGGGGACAAGACAAACAAAAACTAATAAAGAGAGACAAAAGACAAAAGGAATTAAATTCTTATACTAGACATTTGAAGAAAAACATAAACGGACTGCATATAGCAGAGATCACGGGTTGCCAACACGTCTCTGATAGGAACATAGGGTTGTCTTCCTTGGGCCTCGAGGGTATTCAAAAGTCGCTCTCTGGCGGCGTCATTATCCGTACATTGCCACCTGCGTGTTCGATGTCATCGTAACCGTTTCCACACCGACAGATGTTGCTGTCCACGAGGTTTATTCTATTGAGATGAGCATCTAGCGAGTAGTGGTTGGACATAAGTCTACTCATCACGCGAATGAAGTCACGACTTAAGCCCAAGCCTTTAAACCACGCTCTCGAAGAAACATTAGGAATAATTGAATGTAACCACCGTCCAAGATTTCCAGTGTCCCAATCGGTTTGCCAACTCGAAAAGGTACTCTGACGCACTAAATGGTAAAATTCATCGTGTAAAATTTGCCTGTCATACAATTCGCCTTCCTGCGCGCCCACCTTTGCGAGAGAGTCCGCCTTCTCATTGCCTGGGATTGAGCAATGTGAGGGGACCCATACAAAGGTAATCATATATGATCTTTCGACCAGCACACACATCTGCTCCCTTACCTTTGAAAGGAAATAAGACGAGTGCCTACCTTGTTTCATCACTTTAAACTAGTTTTACTCGAAATTTCTTCAAAGTTTACCCATGCAATAAAAAGTTATGCACAATAGAAATGTGAATTTTTAGTTTCGAGTACAATCTTTTAATGTGTTTATTTATCGTAACATATCAAGAACAGTAGATATCGAGTAATGACAATGCTATGGAGATAGGTGGTGACATCTATAGGTGGATATCTTAGCTATTTTATGTTAAGGATAGAGGCAGTAGTAGTCGCCTGCACGAACAGTTAGGGATTATGCATAAATGACGTAGCATTTCAAGGGCCTGGGAGTGGTTTTAGAAGTTTTATATGCCCATGTATTAGGTATAGCAAAATACACAACGATGGAGGAGGGGTTTACATTTGATCAAAATAAGGCTACGTCCCATCCATCCCAGGGATGGAAAATCATTGACATTCATTTCGTGCATTCAATTACATTCATTTGTCTCTAACTTTTTTCATCAACATAATTCCGTAAAATAGCGTTTGAAGTTGTTGTAGGCTTTGATATTAGCTACATCTTTTGTAAACAACTCGAATCTGTATCTCTTATGCATGATGAATCAGAGCGATTTTTTTTAAGATCCAAAATGCGTCTTTCCGAAATTTCTTTGAGTGCTAATTATTAAAAGCACAAAAATATTTGTCGTCAAGAAAGCGTTGAAAACCCCTATTCCTAGGTTTATGTCTATTCCTAGGTTTGTGTCTATTTTTCTCGTACAAAAACCTTTCTGAAACGTTGATTTCCATTGTACCCTAGCACACTCCACTTTGCAAAACGGTGCAGCTGTTTGGAACTCTTTCTATCAGTTGAGTTGAGTTGAGCGAATTGAGTCAGCTCAACAAATTTATTCGATACGCACTCCATTGATTCCTCTGATGTGATCTTCTTAGATTATGGAACTTTTTAGGCTATAAAGTTGTGAATCTTGTGAGCAATAATAGCTATGAAAAAAGAAAGATAAAAAAGAAGAAATTGATAAAAAAAAATTGAAAACTGATAACTGAATTCGTCTGCTCAAACCAACATATAACATCCAATGCAAATTCATCGTCCTTGATATTCGGAAAATTTGAAAACATCCATCTTAAAAACAATTCTTTCTTCTCAACCATAATTCACCACTCAGCACACGGTGTGGTGTAAAACGTAGAAAAATATTTATACCAGAAATCGGTCTCTACGAGCTTGAAGTGCATAAACTACAAGCAGCTATCAACTAGGTACCGCATACCAACCCGCGTTGAATGTATTGCCATAATCCTACAACTTGGTACGGCTACGTAGTTTACCTACATCCCATCCGATCAGTCTTGAGTCTCAAGACTCGACATCCGGAGCGGGGGATAGTGGTGGAGTGTAAGCTTTTAAAATCATATTTTGCTGAAACAATCAATCATCCCGATGATGGTACATTTCCTCAATCAATCAAAATGAATACAGCTTTCCTCTTGGGCGAACTGAAAAAAAGTTGCCAGTATACGAAAGATGGATGGAACAGGAAATGTTCTGTTATATTCTATCGTTGTTTTCCACCGTACATCCGCTGAGGTCACCACTTAGGGAGTGTATCGGGGAGATTTTTTTTATACAGAATGACTCGCTTCCAGACAGTCTAGCATGTACTGATCGTTCAAAACATTAGTAGTTTGTTGTGTATCGAATCTAAAAAAACAATGAGACACAACATAAAGGTT